AGCACTGGTTTAGTTGTTTTTTTGTCATATCATTATGGCCAGGCTGCAAAGTCACATAGCACAGGCATAACAATGCCTGTATAAGGAGCTGTCTGAATCTACTTTTCTCACAGTATAACTGGTAGGCATTTGAAGCTTTGAGCCATTGGATTTAGACAGAAATGAATGGTGTAAGGAAGGAATACCATGAGCAGCTCTCCAGTACTGGTCCTCGGTGTGAGAACTATCTGAGGCTGTGAAAAGTCCAAAGGGCTGGTGGCATGAGATACATGGGGTTTGAATCCTGGGTCTATCATTATGTAGCTCTGAGAGGTAAACTTGTTAATTTATCTCTCTGAGCCTCAGTTTCCTCACTTGTAAAATGGAGATGGCAATACTTCTTTAATACAGGTTGTTTTGAAAAGTTACTGAAAAAATAATCACTAGACAGGTAGGTGTTCAATAAATATTACTCCCTTCCCTTTTCTTGTCTTGGAACACCTCAATTGAAGTTAGTAAAACAAAGTCCTTGAAAAATAAAAACAAGATGCCTCTAGCTTGGAGCTAATGTAATGATACCAAGGCCATCAGACTTAGTGGTGGGAGGGGTGAGGTGGTGAGTAAAGATGACCACTCTGGCTCCCAAGGTCTTCATTCCATCTCACTAGCTGTAGACCCCAGGAAGGGCCGCTGGATGACATTCTCAGCTCCCTACACTTCACCTTGCAAGGCAGGGTCCTGCACAGCCACTATGCAGGAACCCAGGGGGTTGAGCCTGGGATCTGACTCTATGTGGGATTCTAAGGAGCCATTCTTTGAAGAGTTGATCTCCTCAGCTCCGCTGTTAACCCAGCTCTGTTGAGTTCCTGTCTGGCTGTTAATTACACCACCAGCACTCATCTGGGGCTGAGTCCTGCACTTATGCCTCAGCTCAGTTTTTCTTCTCTCTGTGGCTGGATTGTACTCCTTTGTGGAGCAGCTTTTCCATGTGGGGCTCAGTCTGATGTTGCACAAAGAGTTGGCTAAGGCTTGCACCGCTGCTTTGCCTTCACAGCTGTAGCTGCTTTCCTTATTCCCCCAATTTTTATTCTAACATTCTCGTACCAGACTTTCATCCAACTCATAGGTCCTCTCAGACTACTCTGCCTCCTTTCACCTTTATACAAGCCAAGTTCTAATAATCTTCTCTGTTCTGTGCTACGGATCTAAAAACTATACATTAATCTACATCAGATTGTTTAAGGTTATATTTTAGCTTCTCTTATGGGGGTTTATTTTATCTATACCTGCCTCTTACAGGCTTTCACTTTAGGGCATCTCTGAAAATGTAAACCATATTTGAACCAAAGACCAAATAATGCTCAAAGATGATCTGATACTCCCAGGATGCAGCAGTGGGCCACGCCTTCACCACTGGGTGGGCAGGTCTGCCTTTCAGAGCAGCTGTGAGAGTGAAAAGCAGTCAGTGGCTCTCTGGGATCAAAATATCAGTTTCATCTGGTTTCTAAGTTGTTTGCTAGTCATAGGGTTTACCACTGTGGATTCTCCCTTTTGTTTTCCATGTTCCTCCACTCAAGGTGCTTTATGCCCATCCCCACGGCTGGACCTAGACACACAGGCACATCATTTGGTACCAAATATCAAACTGCTGTTCTTTAAATATTGGCTCAACACTTAATGAGAGCAAAGTCGGAGTGCTATGTGGGAGGGACAGAGAATGGAGAATCACTGGTGCTAGCACTCTTTGTCCCCTGTCAGCAGGGGGCATTTCTGCCCTCACCCAAACTTGCCTGCTCTGCCTCCAATGGACAGGGCCTTGTGGCCTCCTTGGAAGGCCCTTGAGTTCCATTCCTTGCTACTTGCTCATGGAAGGTTTGCTTCCAGCCACACCCTGCTTCTTCTTGAGAGGCCACATATGCATATTCAGTCGTGTTAGGGACCCCTCATGTGTTGGTACTTGGGTACCAGCCTGGCTAGCCCCTCCCTTTATCTCCTTGGGACTGGAAATAAGCCCACATTTTAATAATATGAACACACTCTCTGCCTGTTCTAAGGTCTGGTGTGGTAGGGAAGTAGAATGGAAGGGGAGTCCCCCTTTACCACAATCTCTGCTCCCTCCTGCAAGAGCCTGGGGGCTCTATCCACCCTTTCACCATAAGAGTGATAGATAACTCCCCTGGCTGGTATTTTCCCAGTTCCTCTAATTTTCAATTATCCATGCTCCTGCTAAAATTTATGTGTACATCATAAACTATAAAACACGATCCTACTCTTTGTACGTACAAGCATTAAAAAATGAAGTTACAGGAAAAAAATAGAACAGACATAGTTTGACATATTTTCTGCTCCGAAAAGGAAAGGAAAAATAAAACAGCCCACATCAGCAAGTTCCCTGGTAACAATTTCAAAGAGGAAATACTTGAGCTAGAAGGAACATCTCTCTAGAGTACATTTTTGTTATTTGTTACACCAGAGATCTCCTTCTCACGAGCACATGGACAAGACCTCAGTAATTGTGTAACGTGATAAGAGTGTTTTTACAAGTTATGCAAATACACAGCACTTTGCTGATGATCAGAACAATCTAATTCCCGATCCTTGATGCGGGTGTTGGTTTCCAGCCCCGTCGGGTGGCGTTTCCTGCCCGCAGCTCCGCGCGGCCCCAGGTGAGTCCTGCGCGCTCCCCACACTCTCGCTTGCGGGAGGGGATGGAACGTAGGCGGAGGGCGGGCCGCGGGTGGGGGGGACCAAGATCCGGGCCTTGACTGCAGCTTCCTCCGGGCGGATCCGCATTTGTAGACACCCCCGCAGCCCTGCCCTAGCTCCCGGAGCCTTTCCAGGCCGTACCGCCAGAGGCGCGGAGCCCGCCGGGGGCGCCCCAGCCCTGCAGCGCCGGCCGGGGCGGAGGCCTCAGGACCGCGGAGATGCGGGGCGGGGGCAGGGGCAGGGCGCGGGGTAGGTGACTTTATCCCGCCTCTGTTTTCCTGACCCGGGGAGCAATGACATCACGAGGCCTTCTCCAGGCGCCAACACAAAGAGAGGCTAGGAGAGGCCGCTGCGGGGGTACCCGGCGGCGGCCCTTGCTGCCCTGGGCTCTGGGGTCCCGCCGGTCAGGGCCGCGCCAGGCCCTTTCAACTCCTCCTCCTCTGCTGCCACCGCCTGGGTCGCCGACGCCCGCGCCGCCTGCGCCGTCCGCTCCCACCGCACGCAGCTGAGCCCGCGCTCCCCGCGCCGGCCCCTTCCCATGCGGGCGGCGCGGGCCCTGGGAGGGGCGCCCGCAGCCAGCCGCGCAGTATGCACTGGGGGGTTGGCTTTGCCTCGTCCAGGCCGTGCGTGGTCGATCTGAGCTGGAACCAGAGCGTCTCTTTCTTCGGCTGGTGGGCCGGGTCCGAGGAGCCCTTCTCCTTTTATGGGGACATCATCGCTTTCCCTTTGCAGGATTACAGTGGGATCATGGCAGGGCTGGGCTCCGATCCCTGGTGGAAGAAAACACTTTACTTGACTGGGGGAGCTTTGCTGGCTGCAGCTGCGTACCTGTTCCACGAACTCCTGGTCATTAGGTGAGCCGGAGAGAGGGCCCCGCGCTGGGGCGCCGGAGGGGCACCTGGCCAGGGCAGGGCAGGCGCGATGGAGGGGGAAGGGGGGAACGACCGTGCCAGCTCCTCGGTCACGCCACCCAAGTGCTCAGGGTCCTGTCCTTACCTTTCCCCAGAGGCAATCCATGGTCACCTGGCCTTGAGGGGCAGTTTAGAGTTGACAAGAGAATTAAACTGGTGTTGGGAGGGAAAAACATTGTCTCCCAGTCTTGCGGTGCTGAAAGCAAAAAATCTTTGGGAAGATCCTAAGTGCAGTGTTTTGCAACAATAGAATTAGGCCCTGTAGAAATACTAAGTTACATTTTTATGAAATACCTTATTTGTTTATAGATAATAATGCTGGAACATTAACCGCTAACCTTATCTTTTACTTAAAGGTTAGCTCTCCATTCTCCCTCCCCAAATGTTAGTATCATCAGAAGGCTGATATTGCAAAAGGTCCAGAGACTTCTGGGCCCCTGTTAAGGATGCATGCCCAGGTGTGCTGTGCAGTTTTGATGCAGCCTTCACCTGGTTCTCTGCTAATCTGGTATTTAAAGCTAAACATCATCTTCAGGTTTAAATGCCATTGTTGTGTGAGCCCTAGGAGATTCGAGGATAGGACTAGCACATGGGCGTGTTTGACAAGAACTTGGAAGTCACCCAGAGCCATAAACAGTTCCATGGCTGCCTGCCGCAGAGTGTTGACAGGATTGACTTGGAGATACCAGGAAATGGAGGCCCCTGGTGTTGGTACACCCAGCTGTACATGAGATCTTTGTTTGAGGAAGGTAATACCACAGGCTACTGAGATGGTCGTTTGGCTAATTGCTACATTAATTTACCATGAACATTTCTGTGTGTTTGAACCCTCTGTCACTGGGAGATGACCAGAAGAAGCAGTTTTCAATAGCTCAGCATGTCCTTCTGGGCCAGTATTTTTTGAATAGTGAGAAAGGTGCCCACACTGCCTTTTTCCAGTGGAGGAGACCTACACAATAGGTTGTAAACAAAGACAGTGACAGTGACCTTTAACAGGCCAGTAGACATCCCAGGAGGACACTGTGACAGGCTAACTTAGGTATTGTGCATATTTCTAGCCTCTGAGAGGAGGAGGAATCATTTAGGCCTGGGGAAATGTGCTTTCATATTTAGTAATAACTGAGAAATTTTATTTTCATTGTATACATTGAATACTCTCAGCACTACCTTGAATCTAGTTGAACCAAATAATTTAAAAAGTAAAATGATCTCTCTAGATTATTTTATGTTTCTACTACTTTTAGAATTCTATTTCAAGTTAAAGGTTCAAGCTCTATGCAAAACTAAAACATTTGTGCAGTAATTTAAATGGTAATCCCATTGTTTCTCAATTATATTCCAGCCCAAAGCCTTTTCAGGATCCCAAACCATGTGCTTCTCACCAGTTATCCACTTTGTGAAGGGAGTGAAGACATGTCTTCACAGGGCTGAGTCTAAACCTTGCTTACATGACCTTGCAGAAATAGCGAGGAGCTCAGAGCTCACTCTGGGAGCAGGCCACACCCTGGTAGGTGTGGTCGCTGGACACAGAAGAGGTCTGTGCACACAGATGTGTCCTTCACCTGCTCAGGGGACTACTTGGATACATATTTAGTTGAGGTGTGTTTAATCCTTGGTTTATTCACTTTCGTTTCTTGACAAATGCTTAAACTGAGTTGGAAAGTCCTATTATAATGCAAGTAATAAAAGTAGCTGCCCTGTTTTGAGCCCTTAGTAGGGGCTCTGCATAGCAGTGCTTTGCTTGCGTGATTGCATTTATTCCTCACAACTAGCGTTGGATGCTCGATCCCCATTTTATAGGTAAAGAAATTGTAGCCCAGGATAGTTAAGCAACTTGCCCAAGATCACACAGTAAGAGTACTAGGATCCAGATTCAAGCCTGAACTTTTTTACCACTGTCTCCTAGAGAGTACAAATTCTGAAATAGGTTTTGATGGGGGAAGAGGAAGAAAAATGTAGAGAACTGGGGCATAGCTCGGGGAAGACAGGACTGTGGTAAGGACCTGAGTTTTTGACAGCCTCTAGGGGCACGGAGGGATAGTGGAAAAAAACTGAGGTTGCGGACTGATGTTCAGAGGTTACATGATAGAGACCTCCACTTAAGGTGAAATAGTCAATTGTCTGTGTAGTTTAGGGAAAACACATATATGGGAAATGGACAATACACCTTGAAATGGCTACACTGTCTGAGTTCACTGTCAATCAGAGCCTTCACCATTCTGCTTGAATTTGCTGCTGCTTGGACTTAACCTGAAAGTTTGTCTTCAGAGTTGAAAAGTGAAGTTGACTGGTGAGAATTATTTGCGAAGTTTTATTAATGAGTATAACCTAAGTAGGCATTTTGAATTTTACTCATGTTTTCCCTGCCATAATATTTTTAAACAAATGTAGTCCCAACCCTGTGCTTTTTTTGATCCTTGCGTGGAGGTAGCCTCAGCAGCTATCTTAAGTTCAATTCAGCATTTGGAAAGGTATTGTTTATACGTTGAATGACTGAGTAATGACTTTGTTACTGGTAGCTCATTTGCACTTCAGGCCCATGGACTCATCCTGTCCTAGAACACTTAGGGAATCAGAGCAGCCCATGGATCATCTGACCTCCATAAACAGCTCATCAGCTGTACACAGAGGTGCGGTCACCTGTGATATCTTTCCCCATGGGAATAGGGGCCAGTCTTGCTGCTTTACAGGTGTTTTCTTATACAACCCTCATTGTAAGGGCATTTTATAAAATATAGCTGTCCAGGAAACAGGTCACCCACTTCTCTGATCCTAAGTTAGAGGGAGGTTCCTCATGTGTGGAGGGAGGGCTCTGGGGCCAGATAGGGTTAAAATTCACTCTGCTTTTAATCAACCATGTGACCTTGGATTGGAGAGTAAGCTTCTTGGCTATTGGGTTTTCTCATCTGTAAATAGGGATGATAATAGTAGTCTTCCTCATGGAGTTGATAAAATGTTAGCACATATGAAATGCTTGGCACACCGTTTGACATACAGTGAGCATACAATAAAGGTTGGACATTAGTTGTTATAGATTTTCATCAGAAACTTTCAGGCTTGAGTGGTCTGAGTTAAACTGGCTGTTTTAATATTATTAACTGAGAAATTATCCATTTTGGTGTAGTTGAAGTGCTTAAAAGCTTGGGAACTACAACTGTTAACCACATGATCTAAAACTCATATTCCCTGGGCAAGTTATTAACCTTTTTGAGCTTCGAGTTCCCTGTCTGCTATAAAATTTAAGTGTAGTATAATATACTAAATTTAAACCATAACAATATCCACTCTGTAGTGTTACTGAAATAATTTCATATGCATGTATACAAAGTCATTGGCACAAATGCTTGTCGCATAGTGAGCTTCTATTCTTATTATGACATGACTCAACCATTAGAATTAGGTTGTTCTGGCTAGTGGCATAGGGGATTTGATATTTATCTCCCAACCTTTCCATTCGTAAATTTTTGCCTGGCTAATTTACGTGAAAATACCACTCCATGACTTGAATTATTTGGCTGGACAAAATCAGTAAATTGTCAAATCTACAGTTTGCACTGTCTAAGAACATAGTCCAAATGGCTTCTTAATTTTACTATCTGACCTCCCAAACATTTCATCTAAATGAAAACTTTTGTTTCATAGCAAATATTGTCAGAAAGCAGCAAATATTTTTACTTTTTTAACCAATATTTTCAAAGGAGCCATTCTTACCTCTGTAAGTGGAATGGGCACGTCAGTGGTAAACTCCAGAAGAGTTTGTTATGCTGAACGGAGATGCTGCAGTAAGTGAGCATCCATGTGAGGATGGTACGAAGAGCTTGTCCTTGCTTGCTGAGATCGAGCTACTCAAGGGATTTAGCCAGGAACAGTGTGAGGGAACCAGGGGCTCAGGGAAGGCCAAAGGGAAGAGTGGGAAGTGGTTGGACAGAGTGGAAGATGGAAATTGCAGGAAGTTCCTGTGGTGTATGAGTAGAGCTGTGTGGAATGATGAGATTTTGTAGCATAAGGGGATAAGACCATCTCTCTCTGAAAAAGAATAAAGTCTACCCCTCTTTCATAATGCTTGATAGCTCACCAAATATTTATATATATTAGCTTATTTAGTTATCAGGATAATCAATACACAATAGATACTGTCTCACTTTCCCTGTGAGAGAGGAGAAGTCCAGGGTATCATGCCCAGTAGGAGGCAGGACTTGGATTTGCTCCAGGTGTCCAGACTTGGAATCCAGTACTCATTTACCTCATGGTGACTATTATTTATTTATTTATTTTTTTATCCTCACCCGAGGACATTTTTCCATTTTTTGTTCAGGTAGAGTGGGAGGGAGAGAGAGGAACAGAGAGAGAGAGAGAGAGAGAGAAACATCGATGTGAAAGGAACACATCATGTGGCTGCCACCCGCACAACCGACGAGGGCCGGGGACAAACTGCAACCGAGGTACGTGCCCTTAGCGGGAACCGAACCCGGGTCTCTCAGGACCACAGGCCGACGCTCTAACCGCTGAGCCAAACCGGCCAGGGCGTCATGGTGACTATTAAAAAGCTGTACCAGGGAGGTCTTCCCTACCTAAAATGTAGCCAAAGGAAAAGGGACATGAAGTGTGGCTGAGACAGAAGAAGGAAAAGGTAGGGGCACTAAGATACATGCTGTGTGGACCCTGTGAGGGAAGAGAGGATGAGAGAGCCCAGAGCCGGGTTCCTCGGCACCAGGGGTGAAAGGCCAGGTGAGGGCATGGGCAGTTTGGAAGAGGGACCAGCATCTCAGATTTCCTGAAGTTGTGGGTCTTGGCAGAGTAAATCTGCACTGTTATCCTAGGGTCCTGTGGAAGAACACTGTTTCATGGTGCAGTCTGTGGTTAAGGCCATAGGCTCTGACTGCCTGGTTCAGTCTAGGTTCTGCTGTTTACTAGTGATATGACTTTGGGCAAGTTAATCTCTGTGTCTCACTTTCCTCATTTATAAAACATGGATCGCAATAGCACCTACCTCATAAGGTTATTGTGGAGGTTTAAATGAGATAATACCTGTGAAGCCCTCAAAGCAATGCCTGGCACATAATAAGCTCAGAAGATCATTTTATCAATCCAACTTGTTCCCTGGCAGAGAAAATAACCAGTAAGGGAAAGAAGGGAAAGAGGGGGACCTGTACCTGAAAGTACTCTTCCTGTCCAGAGGATAAAGGGACCAGAAACATGTAGTTACTTTTCTGAGCCCTTGGGGTCATAGTAATATCGGGGTTTGTGTCTCACCCACCTTCCACTTCCTGAGAGTCTCCGGGTGAGGAAAGCCCTGTGAAAAACAGATCTGCTTGTTCACTGAGGAGCTACAGCCCCGCAGGGATCTCCGAGGAACTAAGGGAACTGAATGTATAACTCGCGGGTTGTTCTTTATTTCTGTTTTGGTTTTAACAGGAAACAGCAAGAGATTGACTCCAGAGATGCTATTATTTTGCATCAGTTTGCAAGACCTAACAATGGTGTCCCCAGTTTATCTCCTTTCTGTTTGAAAATGGAAACTTATTTGAGGATGGCTGACTTACCCTATCAGGTACTTGTGTGCAAATATCTTCTATTCTCAAGACAGCAACATCGGTCAGAGAGCGGTACCTAGTCTCACACAATGGGAAGGGCTGGCACTTGGTGCTGGAGGGGGCGAGTGTGAACGTAGCAGCACCCAGTCCTTTGTGGGTACTTGACTCCAGGGTCTGTTGATTTTTACATTCAGTTTAATGTAGGTTCAAAAGGGTATGAGCTTCAGTAGGGTTTGGGTCATGTTATTTTTTCTGACATAGAATACAATTTGGTCAATAGTTTGGGTAGGTTTATTGGGCAGCTGTTAATACAGGTGGCTGTACCATTTCCTGATGTGGTTTTATCCTTTAGGTTTCTATTTATTGACAGCATTGCGTTTTGTCTCATGAATCCTGGGAGCAGAGCACCCAGTGGGCACCAGGGAAGTATACGCAGATCTCGTGAGAGTGTCTCCACAGTGTTCCATGTTTTGTTTGGGTGGCATCCTGGGAAACATTGGCTCACTTCAGCATTAGAGAGTGAACAGAGGAATGTATTTAAGGGTATACATTTTTCTCTGAGTAATGCTTGAGTTGTGTCTCACAAATTTGACAGGTTGTGTTTTTATTGTCATTTAATTCTATGTATTAAAAAAAAATTCTCTTATGTTTTTCTTTTTCACCTAAGTTCTAGCCAAATGCAATTTTTTTTTTTTTTTTTAATCCTCACCCAAAGACATTTTTGCATTTATCTTCAGATAGAGTGGGAGGGAAAGAGGTGGAAAGAGAGAGAGAGAAACATCAATGCGAGAGAGAGACATCAAATGGTTGCCACGCACAAATTCTATTTTGTTTTTGTTATAGTGATTGCTCTTAAGATCCTAATTTGTATTTCTTTATCCCTATTTATTTCTTAAATGCATCCTCTTCTGTACTTACCCTCTAATAATACAAGGACCTTAGCAGGTTCAGGCGAACCTTGGTCTCTCTCTTCCCAGCCCTCACCCCATTTGTGTTTCTGTTGTGTAATACGCTTCTTCTGGAAATCTGGAAATACTCTCTCTTTTTTCTCTCGGCTCTTTTTTAGACAACAAGCCTTACTAAGCTATTTACTATCCTAATTTCCCATCTCTTTCCTCACAGGATTTGTTTGTCTTTTTATCTGAGTTCTTCCTTGATGAGTATTTTCAGAGTGAGCCTTTAAGTGGCAGGCTGTGGCCCTGCATGCTGAGAGCACCTTTGCCCTCGAATCTGATAATTCTGTATTCAAAGTCCTTTTCTTTCAGTGGTTTAAAAATTATATTCTCTTATTAATATAAACATTTAACAATATATCTCCATTGCCTTTTTGCGTCCTTGTTGCTTTTGAAAAATCGAGTGTATATCTGATTTGTTGTCTTTCTTTTTTTCTCTGGTAGCTTTTAGAATTTGTGTTTATCTTGACAATCTTAAATTCCACTATACTGTGCCTCACTGTAGGTCCTTATGTATCTTGCTTGATCCTTTATGAACTCTTTTAATTGGAAGTCTTTAATCTTTTTAATTTGGGGGAATTATTCATTTTCTTCAAATACTTCCTTTTTTTCTGCTCCCTTATTTCTGGATCCTGAAGGCTCTGCTTTGGTTTTGCGTCTCTGAACGTGTCCCTTCATTCTCTTCTTCCTTCCGGCAGACCCATCTCTCTGAGCACCCGCTGCTCCGTTCTCTCCTGTCATCCATCCTGCTCTTCCTCTCTCCACTGTGCTCAGCTTTTACATTTCCTCCTTAACAGTTCCCCTTGGTTTCATTACTGATCTCTTCCATGATCTCTTAGAGGATATTTATCATGCTAATTAAATTTTTTTTGGCTTGTCCCTATATTTCTGCCTCACGTTGTAGGTATCCAGGCTGTTGCGCTCTCCTGTAGTGGTTGTACTCCTCTGAAGTCTAGTTGTTTTGGTTTGAGACCTCCTTTCACCAGGGATGTCAGCTTCCCTGCCTGGGAATGTATATGAGCAAGGTCTAAAGCTCAGCCCACAGGTTGTGTACTTCGGGGGGAAGTTGCAGAAAGGGAAGGAGGTGAGCCCCAGTGTGGTTCCTCTGGTTTGTTGCCACTCCTCCAAGTGGCTCTCACTGGTCAGAGGTTCACCTTGAAGTTCTTTCAAAGTATCAGCATTGAGAGGTGGTGGTCTCCCTGAATGGAAGCAGACCAAGCAGGAAGGTTGGAGGGGGAGAGCTCCTCACCCAGCCAAGCTTTTGGCTGCCCTGTTAACCATATTCCCGTCCAAGCCCTGACTCCCCAGGGCCTGTGCTTTCTGAGCCGGTTTTTCTACAGAAGAGGGATGGGGTCAGCAGTGACCCTTCTAAGCAGCACGGGACGAGATGAGTGTCATGCTCTCAGCTTGGTAAGTGCTATTATGGAGTTTCTCTGGGAATGTGGTAGGAGGCACTGAGTCAGGATTGTGGGGGATCTGGGGGGACATGGGGTATTTCTGACTGGGAACTGCAATGCAAGGGTGAGTTTGGAAGCAGAAGCAGGGAGATTAGCCAGGACTTTCTAAGCCAGTGATGGAGGAGAAACTAGCAGTAAAAACAGACAAGGCTTGACTTATCTCAGTGCAGGGGATCTGGTTTGAAAGATCACTGTCCATCTTGCTGTTGGCAGTCAGCACTAAAGAGGTGTCACCGAGGGGTGCAGACTGGAGGAAGAGGCTGCTATCCGGCAGCTGTCTGTTTCTGTTTCATCATCACTCTAGAAAGAGTGCCTCCCTTAGCCACGATAGCTTTGGGACAGTTAGGGTCCAACACCTAAATTCTGTGTGTTGAGTTTCTGGCTGCTTTCAGGATCCCGTGTGTCCCCAACCCCATGAAGCCACCTGCTGTTTGCAGCAGCTGCACCAGCTGCCAGGCTGTCCCGCCTTCTCCTTTCTTGCCTTCTGGCCTTCAGGTGCTGATTGCCGCCCCCCCATCTTTACCAGCAGCCTAACTAAATCCTTAGTTCATGTTTCGGAGCAGCTGCTGTTTAGGTAGTTTAACTGAAGCAGCAGGGCACATGCCTCGCTGTGAAGCCTGGAGCTCTTACAGAGACCTTGGAGAAGGGAAACGCTTACACCCTTCTGAAATGATTATTTCTTATTATACACACACACACACACACACACACACACATATGTTAATCCTCACCTGAATATATTTTCCCATTGATTTTCTTGGAGAGAGTAGAAAGGAGGGAGGGAGGGAGAGAGAGAAAAAGATCAATATGAAAGAGGTATATTCATTGGTTCCCTCCCGCACGACCCCAACCGGGGCCAGGGATTGAACCTGCAACCCAGGTACGTGCCCTTGAATGGGAATTGAACCTGCAACCCTTTGGTCTGAGGGCTGATGCTCCAGCCACTGAGCAAAACCAGCCAGGGCAAGTGTATATATATTTTTAAAAAGGAATGGTCTGGGAGTGTTATTTTCTTCTGTGAGGTCTCTACAGAAAATATGTGGAGGGGTTGTTCAGTGCAGGGCAGAGATCTTGGGTAAAAGGAAAGTGGTTCTGTGCTTTAGAAGAGGATGTGCCTGCCCCAGTACCTGAGCCCATGTGCCATCAGCAAGGCTTTGTGTTGATGCAAGTGATGCCTGGGAAGGGGTGGTGGGAAGTGCTCACTTCTCAGACATCTGCAGACAGGTTTGTCATATTCCCAGGGTGTTCCACCTTCGGCCCCTTCTTTGCCCTGTGCTTTCAAAAAAAAAAAGATTAAAATGTCATGTTCTAAGAGCATGCCTTTATATTTGAAGCTTTTTTATCTTTTAACCTAAGTGAGACTGGAATAAATATTTGAGGACCATTAATAGGCACCCACAGGCCTTTTTATTTTTTTAAACTTATCTTTATTGTTGAATGTATTTCAAATGTCCTTCCTTTTTTTCCCTCCTTGACCCCTCCTCCCCACTCCCACTGCCCTTCTGCTTTCCCCACACTGTTGTCTGTGTCTATTGGTTATGTGTATATGCATGTAAGTTCTTTAGTTTCTCTCTACCCGCCCCACCTCCCCCCTTCCCTTTGAGGTTCCTTAGTCTAACAACCAATTTGTACTTAATCCCTTCATCTTTTTCACTCAACCCCCCTCCCATCTGGTCTCTTGCTGCTTTTAAGATTTTTCTATTTGTCTTTAACCTTTGGCATTTTGATGATGATGTATCTTGGTGTGGACCTCTTGGGGTTCATCTTGTTTGGGACTCTCTGTGCTTCCTGGACTTGTATGTTTGTTTCCTTCACCAAGTTAGGGAAGTTTTCTGTCATTAGTTGTTCAAATAGGTTTTCAATTTCTTGCCCTCTCTCTTCTCCTTCTGGCAGTCCCACGATGCAAATGTTGGCACACTTGAAGTTGTTCCAGAGGCTCCTTACATTATCCTCAGTTTTTAAAATTCTTTTTTCATTTTGCTGTTCTGATTGGGTGGTTTTTGCTTCCTTATATTCCAAATTGATGGTTTGCTTCTTTGCTTTACCTACTCTACTATTGATTCCCTGTACATTATTCTTTATTTCAGTAAGTGCATCCTTCATTTCTTCTGGTCCTTTATTATACTCTTGAGGTCCTCACTAGGTTCCTTGATGTTCTCACGAAGTTCCTTGAAATTCTAAGTTCATTGAGGGTCCTTATAAGCAATGTTTTGAACTCTGCATCTGTTAGATTACTTATCTCCATTTCATTTAGTCCTTTTCCTGGAGTTTTGTTTTCATCTTTCATTTGGGACATGTTTCTTTGTCTTCTCATTTTGGCTGCCTCCCTCTGTTTGTTTCTATGTATTAGGTAGAGTTGCTATGTCTCCTAGGCTTCCTAGGGTGGCATGTTGTAGTAGGTGTCCTGTAGGGTCTAGTGGCACAGCCTCCCTGGTCACCCAGCTGGGCCCTCGAGGTGCACCCCTCATGTGGACTTTACACCCTTTTGTTGTAATTGAGTCTTGATTGCTGTTGGCAATGGAGGGTTTTACTCAGGCTGATTAGCTGCAAGGATGGGCTGTGCCCACTAACCACAGACCTCTGACTACCTTGGAGGGTCAGCTGTGC